AATATTCATGAAAACTCCGCCCATATTTTATAACCAGTTTCAAAGCCGAATAAGGGAGGATAATTGAGTTAGGTTCTTGAGAGCTAATATAAAACTCTGTTGAATTTTTATGTCAAGGATCAACGAAGAATGTGTATGTACTGAATGAAATTATAAGAAGTTTAACAATTGCATGAAATGACAGTGAACGATGCATTGAGTAGCAGAGCGGTGCACAAAGCCATTTTTGAATCGGCAGTATTAATAGGCGGCAGCTTCCTTCAAGTCTTCCTCCTCCGTCGCCTTTTTGAGCAGAAGGGTGGTCCTCCTAGGGTTTAAACTCTAATTAAGAACCATATTGTGCAAATCAAGAAGCATCTATTAATGTTTATACTCTGATGATGGGTGAATTGTATGATGATTATATGTTGAGAGACAGAATTGAACCTCCCAAAACCACAAAACAAGCACTTAGAAACCCCTTTATGTATCAAAAACTTGGGTTCTTCCACTACAGAAAAGTAGTCATTCAATTACTTAAAATGTTTTTTTGCCTCTTTTTCTTTTTTTGGAAATTTTCATGGTACTAGAAGCATTTTTCTTTTTTTGTGCAATCTAAAAAGATGAATTGCACTGTACTTGATTTGAGAATAATATGACTTACGATATATTTTAGTTAGGGAAGAAAAGCTGTAGCTATAGTATAGCTAGTTTTAAAGCATTTCTTGGTTGGGATTTCTAGTAAAGTGTACAACAATTCATATATATTGTTATAATTCAACATTGTTTTGTTAATCTTTTAGACAAAGTATCTATATGCAATGGTTTTAAAAACAAATATATGGAAGATTGTGTGTGTGTGTCTTAACTAGCTAGTAAAATATAAGTGGGTAGTCTTATAAAGAACTATGACAATTAGATGTAGTCTGACATTCTACCTTCCTTTATAAAAACTAGATTGAAGCTTATAAATCCGCAGATGCTATATTTCCTAGGCTCAAAATGCATCTGACTGTAAAATAAGTTTTAAATACAGTTTGAAAATAGTAAAATAACCATTTCAATATTCATCTTACAGTTTAAAAAATAAAATCAAAATAGATAGTGGATTTGCCCACAATTGTCAACTATGGGGTAGTGAATAAAAGAGTGACCCAAGCAGAAACAAGGCCCTTGCCCCCTAATTGCTATATTTAATACCAATATCCCTAATCCATTGTTCTTTACATTTCTTCCCTTCATATTCTTAATATGAAGAATGCCAAAAGAGGGATGAAACTAGGAGTAGGTATCATATTTTTGTAACCTAATAATAAATGAAAAATAGGAGTTTGTGAAATATTATAGAGATAATTTGGTAAACATAATGTTCAATCCCATGAATGATTTTCCAATACCATGGGGGTGATATTATACAATCCCAAGTATTGTTTAGTGCCTCATACCCAACATATTAAAATGAGCTATGCCAGTGCCATTGCTAATCTTAATACTCTAATGCTCGTACCAAACAGGCGTGAAGGTACCTAACAAGTCAGTGTACAACACAATATTGTAGTATTTAAGTCAGGTATAGATATGAAGTCCCATGCTAATGGCTAACAATTTTGCTTCTGTCACCGAATGTATCCCAATATCTTTATGGAAGTCCATAAGCCCATTACCCTTATTGTCCACACCCTTACAAGCCGCTTAATGATGATGCCAAGCTTAAAATTAATGTTTTTTTTTCTTGGCACAACATGTGTCTATTTGTGTGTTTTTTTTTAGTTGATAGATTAATTCTATTTATTCAATGAAGCAGTGCCTAGGTATAATATAATGCTGGAAAGGCAGTAAGCCAGTTACACCTCAAGCAAACTAGATGTTACTATAAATTATAAACTTCAACAACCTCATCTGATTAAGATTCTTTAACTTTGGAAAGAAAGTTCAAATCATCAACAAAAGGCTAGACCATTTCCCAACAATGGAAGCTACTTTATTTTCAGCTATGAATGTCACTTGAAATAAAAGCATTAAATCTTACAAACAGAGCTATTTACAGAAAAGACAACTATAAAACGGCTTCACCAGTTCTGCATATTTTCATGTATTAACTAAGTAAAAGAGCATAAATAGGACAATAGAACACGTGAGTCACCATAACTTATTTCTCTTTCTTTTCTTCATTCAAATACTTTTATTGTTCTATCCAATGCGGTGTGAGGAAGACAGACCTTAGAAGCATCAATCTCTTCTTCAATTGATTTGTTCAAATAATCAGTGTGTCTCCATTCTTTTATGTCTTCTTTACAAATTACACGCCATCCACAGCCTCCTATCTTAAGCATCTCTTTGCATGGAGAATGAAAGGTAAATTTGATGTGAAGGCAATTATTATGACATCTGAGATGTTGCCAACATGTTTTCTCGTTCAAATGCAACACCATTAAGCAAAGGTGAGGACCCTCCTTAAGGACTATACTAATTTCATGTCCCCACTTTTTCCTAATATATTGATCATCTTCAGGGGCTTTACTACTCCAAGAAATATGAAAACCATTAAATATACAAGGCATAATTTGAAATTTGATGCAAACAAAAAGTCCGGACCATTCACTTGCACGAACATGTTGAGGGATGTCCACTATTAATTCATATTTGGATCTATAAAGTTCTGAAGGAACATAATCTTTATTTGGGAACCATGATGGTATTTCTAATCCCCAAAGAATTGTGAAAAAATCTCTCTGGGGGAGATATTCTGCTACCTGCAACAAAGTTAACCTATTAAGAACTATATATACACACACCTACCTACTAGAATAGGGAAAAAACATGCATAAAAAGAAGCAAACGTACCTCAATGTGTTTGAGCAATGTATTGTCATATGTAACTCGATGACAATACTAAAACAAGGAAAAAGTCATGTTATTTGTGTAAAGATAAAAAAAAAATGATCCATAAGTTAGTAGATAGAACATAGTTAGGAGAATATACCTCATGATCAAGTGATGAAACCATATTCCATAACTTTGTTTGTGATAAAGGTTCCATTGATTCACAACCCATTGCATCTAATCAAATTAACTTTGGTGGAAGCTTGGGTAGTGATTTAAGCCTTTTGCAAGAACTCAGAAAAAGAAAGTGTAGTTGAAAACAATTGCAAAACCAATCATAAGGTAGGATAACAAAATCATTTGCTCCAAGATTTAATACAACTAATGATGACAAACCACCAAAATCTTCAAGAATTGATCCATCACTAAGGCCACAAGCACTTAAGTCTAACTTTGTTAATGACAATAGATTAAAGTTGAAGACTTGATTACTTAATGGATCATTGAGGAGAGCCATGTTTTTTCTAAAATTTTCACCCATGCCTTGTTCTTTGAAGGCCTCAGTTTCATTCAATCTTTCTTACCCCTTTGAAAGTTTTGAGCAATCAGAAATGTCAACCATTTTGAGATTCTTCAAATTGTGGAAGACAAGCAGACAAAAAACAAGTTGCTCACAACTTCTCATTTTCAGATATCTAAGACCAATCAAAAATCTAAATGACTTGGGAAGTCTCCTTATAGCAGTATAACTTATATCAAGGCATGATAGTGTTTTCATCCCTTCCCCAAACTTTGGAAGCTCTGAAACTTTAGAACACTGCCTAAAGAGTAACTTTTCCAATGAGTTCATTTCTAGTTTTCTTGGAAGGCCTTCAAAACTTGTGCACCCACATAAATTCACATTGACAAGCTTTTTCAACCCTTCAAGGGAATGATGAACCACAACAAGGGATAAGCACCCTTCAAGAATTAAATTTCCTAAATTTGGAAGTCTTGAGAAATCCGAAGTTTGAGTCAAATTTTTAGAAAAGCTCATATCAACAAACTTCAAGTTTTTCATAATCTGAACAAATTAACAAAAAGATAGGAAAATTAGTATCAGAATAATGTCTTGATGTACAATGATGAAGAATAATGTCTTGATGTACAATGATGAACAATGATGAATGTGGTTACACACCTGTGTGCCATCCCAAAGTTGCTTTATATTGCTATGCTGCATTTGTATATCAACAAGTTTACTCAATGGTGTTCCAAGTGGAAGAGATTCTAGAAGGCAATATTGCCACTGAAAAACTCTTAATGCACTAGAAAGGCATTTGAGACCATTAGGAAGTTTTAATCTCCTTCGAATGATGAGTAATTTGAGATTAAATATTTGTGAGCATGACATTCCCAATATACTTCTATTCCATTATGATGGTCTAAAAAACAGTCAAGATCATCCTGTGGGGAGGAATCTAAGACAATGCTTTGTGTTACTTCAGCTCCCTGACAAATAAAACATTGATTCCCAAGAAAATGACATGAGAATCATCAGGTTTCAAAGAAAAAGAAGAGTAAGAAAGATTAGGGAACTAAACATTTCATTAATTATGTGATATGTATTGTATTTGTACCTAATACACTAAGAGCATATGACTAAACAACTTGCATAACTAAATGCAAAGCCACCCATCTAACTTATAACTAGTATTTATACTCTAATAGCCTCCTACAAACTCAAGGCATCTTGGACCTTAAGTTTAGACCTTAAAAAAAATCAAATATCAATTATATTATAGCCTAGTAAATATATCATCAGATATCTTATGTATAGAAGGAATATGGTAAACAAGCAGTTGGGTTTGCAACAATTTTTCTCTAACAAAGAATTAAATCTAGCTCCATATGCCTTTGCTTGATGAGGAATTTGAAAGGCTTGATAAGGATCATGGATCAACAAAAAGAGTAGCAGTAGAATATGCTTTAAGCTTGTGAATATTGTCTTTAGAACGAGTATTAAGTGGCACAGGAGAAAGTAACTAAGAGAGATAGAGGAGTTGGGCTAGAAAGTCAATAAGAAGGAAGCCCAACAGGAGGAGAAGAAGGAAAAGGTGAGGAAATAGCAGAGGAAGGAGGTCTAATTCAGTTGTTAGAAGGCTGAGGCTATAAAGAAGACATGGAGGGAATAGGAGAGAGAGAAATTTTGCTAGAAGAAGATTATGAAAAACATAGGGAGGAAAAAGATTTGTACATAGGTATCAATGAGAAAAGCATATTCCTAAAATTTTAAAGGCATTCTAGCATGAGATAATAAAGTTAGGCCAGTATCAACTATATATACATGTTTTCTCTCAATAGTACCCATTGGATGATAAGCATATGAATAAGTATATTTATAAACGATACCCTTAGCGGCTAAAAATTTGTCAAAAAATTTAAACTCACGACCTCATTAGTTTGAATGGACTTGATTATGGCATTTAATTTATTTTCAGCCATGACTTTGATTTAAAGAATAACTAAATAAGCATCAAAGTTAGTTTAAATAGATATATTAACCAATTGAAGTAAGACAAATAATGGTCAACAAAATTGATGTAATAAAGATTTTCATGGACTGAAGGACAAGGAACAGAGTCTTGGAGATCAATAGATTCCAATTCAAGTGGTGAATTGTATGTATATATAGTCATGAAGGATGGTGATGTAGTTTATGTGATTTGCCCATACAGCATGTTGAACAAAAAGTACTATTGCATTTATTTGAGAAAACAACATTACCGCCTTTCAAAAGTCTAGGAAGTACTGGAAAAGGGAAGTATATTAATCTATGATGTCACAAATCTATAAAAGGTTTTCCATGATAATTCAATGTAGAAAACTAAAGTACAATAGGATACAACTTGAATTATTAGAAGATAAACTTGAATTATTAAAACAACAAATGAGTATTTAGAAATAAGGTACTCACTTTATCATTTTTCAATACTTCATCAATGTCTTCTAGATTCCACAACCTGCTTTGTCCATGAACACAACCAGGAGATTCTTGAAAAACGATACTCTTAGCTAATTCTTGAAGTAAATCATGCATCTCTAATATGGCTTCTCCATTCATTGTTTTGTTTTCAATCAATAGAGCCGTTTCAATCAAAATATTTATTCCAATTGTGGGGTGAAGATCACAGTTTTTCAAAATTTGAGCAACTTCATCTCTTTTCCATCCATTGAAGAAACAAGCAATATCTAAAAATATTGTCTTTTCTTCATCATTCAATCCATGGTAACTTATTTTTAGAATTTGAAAAATATCATTATCGGGAACTTGTTTTATCCTTTCCAAAGCTTCTTCCCACTCAACAAGACTTCTTCCATAAAGAAAGGAACCTAAAACATAGAGTGCCAAAGGAAGACCTCCTGCATATTTAACTATAGTTTCTGATAATAGCAAATAATCATCTTCAGGTTGATCTTTCTTAAATGCTGTCTTGGAAAATAGCTCAAGAGATTCATTTTTTTTTCCATGAGTTTGACTTCATATATTTCATTCACTCTCCGTGATTTCGATAAGTGTAAATTTCTGGTTGTTATAATCACTCTACTCCCTACCCCAAACCACTTTGGATTTGCCAAATTCTCTAATTGACTCACATGATTTACATCATCAAGGACAAGGAGAACCTTTTTATTCCAAAAAAGTTCATTCAGAACAATCTTCCCAAAATGCTCATCATATATTATTTTCCCTATATTGAGTTGTAAAAGAATATCTTTTTATAAACTAACTAGGCCTTGTCTCTCTGAAGTCTCCCTAACATTAGCAAGGAAGCAAGACATTTCAAATTGGTCAAAGATTCTTTCAAAAATGACCCTAGCAAGAGTTGTCTTACCAATTCCACCCATACCCCATATCCCCTACAAAACGAATGTCATCCACCTCAATCTCTAGCACTGAATTTAACTCAACCATCTTTGAGTTAATTCCAACCAAATGATCATCATGAGATGGCAAATTAGAATATAAAGTGCTCCATATTGCTTCAATAATGTCTCGGATGACTTCTGTTTCATGCCTAACCAAAACAAAATCATGAGTTTGTAAATATGAATTACAATCCTTCAGCAAAAAAAATAATAATAATAATAAGAATTATAATCACAATAAAAAAGAGAAACAAAAAGATGAATATTGTTCACTAAAAATATTAGCAATATATAGATATAATCCATTGGGGTCGATTAGCTCATGAGCTAAATAGAAATATTACTATATTTTTCTAGTTCTATTTATAAGTCATATCCAACATATTTCATATAAACAAAATAAAAAAATTTAAATTTTATTAGATCTTATTTAAAATTTAACAACTCTCTAATTTTATCCCTATTTAATATACAATATACCCTATAAGAATAAAGTCAACACAATGATAAATGAATGATGAAATCATAGATTTATATGAGAATTTTCTCTTTCTGTCCTATAGATAGGACCAAAGTTCTTCTTTCTCTTCCATATAAATAGGACCAAAGAAGTGCATATATAATTAGACATCATCTGCATGTGAGTTCTGTGAATGTCACTAAGCTAACACTAGATGCAAAATTTGAGTTCGCTACTTCGTACACACACATATATATATAATTGGAAAAAAAAAAAACCTTACCGATTCCTAATGTTCCAACCTAACAAATTGCTAACTTGTGACAAAGCGTTTCTCCATTTCTGAACCTTATCTTTGCCATTTTTGAATCTCTTTTCGTGTTTGAATAAAGCTTCTCCAAAAGTTTTTCTTTGATATCTTACATCAGATGGATCCACACCATAGAAGACAGTAAAAACATGTGTACCAAATTTTTTTTGAGATTCAAGAATCTGGTCGAGTTCATCCAAGCACTATGTAGAATTTGCATAATTTTCGGAGAGAACAATAACAACACAAGGAGATTCCTTGATGGCTTGAAGGAGTTGTTGTTGAATAACTGCTCCTCTCTCTATTCCTTTATCATCCCTAAAACATCTGATGCCACTTCTAATGAAAGCATCATATAAATGATCAGTGAAATTTAAGCGAGTGTCTTTTCCTGCAAAACTCAAGAAAACATCAAACTTCCATTTTAAAGTTGAACTACAAGTACAGGAACTTGGGGAACATTCTTCTTGTGGAGCATGAGGCATTTCATTGCGTAGAACTCTTGGAAGCATTTGTCCAACTAGTATTCTGCAAAAACATCATCATATCACTCCTTGGAAATGGAAAAAAACAAAGAAAGAAATTAAAACTAGTGGTAAAAATTACAAGTTGTATTGGATCTCTTGATATGGAGTGAAAGATGCTGTACTCTTGTTGCAGGGATGATCTTTCTTTCTGTTGAACTCAATGCTGCGATCTGAAATCAACGAAATAAGAAAGATACATATAGACTAAAGAGTAAAGACGTCTGCCTACCAATTTTTTATGAAATTTTTTCGTTCAAGATATATTATTATATTTCTGGTTGGTTGCAGCGAACAATATTTATATATATATCTGCCTCTTACAAAGCGTGAAACAGTTTTATTCTAAAATAATATACTACTTACAATTTTTAATATAAGAACTAATTTGATATGAAATTTTTTCCTAAAATAGTCTTTATAGTAGTTGCATATGTTAAAAGTTTTATCAAATAGTAATTCTACTTAGATTAGCCAATTAGCTTTTATATTAAGAATTGGAAGTAATACAATAAACAATGACGTTGTATATCATTTGTTGTACCTCGAGCTCAATGCTATATATGTGTGGAGAGAGAGGGAGAGAGGTAATTTGACTTTACTTTAGTTTTAATCCATAAAATTTGAAAACAATGGTTTTGATATTTAAAATTTGACTTTATTTTAGTTTTAATTTTTTTTAGGGGAAAAAAAACACTATTGCAGGGATAAAAATTAAGAAATTCTGTGAGCAGGCCAAAATAAAAGTCAGATTTATTTTAGGGAACTGGTTTCAAATTTCATGGATCAAAATTAAAATGAAGTTAAACTCCAATAATCAAAATTATTTGTTTCAAATATCAAGAACTAAAATTAAAATGAGGTCAAATTTAAGATACTAAATATCATATTAATCCTTCATCTATTTAATGTTTCTATCACACAAAGCTGCTCATGCTTTCAGAGGAGCTTCGAAAGTTTGGGGTATACGAACATTAAGTTCCACCATAAAACTAAGCTTACACGGCTGTCATTAATTGATTGTTTAGTCTGCTCCCATAAATCTTTAAATTATTTGAAATCAGCCTAGTTATGCCACTCCATATGTATTAGTTTGTAATATATAAAGATCTCTAGAGGTGTATTATTATATACTCTCAAAAATAACATTTCTTGTTCACGGGTCATTTTCCTCCACTTGTTCTTAATAAAAATCAAGTCCTGATACCAAATAAAAATAAAGTCGTTTGAATTCTGAGAACAATATTTTAGGTTTTTCATTGTAAATTTTATATTCAAAGCATCAAAGCCAGTATAGGCCAAATAAAGTGACAAGGTTGGAGTTCATGTCCAACATCTAATACAAATCAGAGACAATAGTTGGTATGAGCTGCAAGGAACTTGCATTGTCATTTAATCATGCCAACTTAATTATGCTAAACACTACCTTCTTTTTTTTTAATATAATAGTTAAATAATTAATTTGAAAATATTAAAAAAATCAGTTAAATTAGTTATTTGTCACAAATGCATATTCATCTCCCTAAACCATTCTCTTTAATCATGCGTGTTAGATTATTAAAATCATTTTTTGGTGGGAATCTCTTACAATTAATAGAGATATTTTGTGAGGAGTGACAGACAAATTAAAGTGGATTGAAGTCTTATACTTAAAATCTAATTTACCCTCCAATTAACTTGTATATTAGTAATAGAAAAACTTAGTTTTCCAGTCGATTTCTTCGAAGCATTTTCATATTCTTGTTGGCCACCAAGCTTTTTGTCAATAATTTATGATAAGGATGACTCCTTCTGAGAATGTTGTGGTGGCCAAAAAGTAAATATAATGTGCGAAGAAATTGTGTCTATAAACCCAGTTCTTGATAAAATCTTTCAAGAGAAAATGGACATAAATTTACGGTTACAAACTAACAAAAAGAGTAATTAAAATGAGTTGCGTCAGGAAATTCACTGAAGTCTGAACGTATCTATGAGCTTAAAGAATGTTTATAAATGTAGCTTTAAATACAATTAAACAAGACAAAAACCTAGCAAGAAACCTAAGTAATAGGATTAGCTTGTCTTGACTTGTATAAAAACACTTTTTAAATAACTGTAGGGGCTTGCCAAACCCCTATGTGCTCTATATAAAAGTTGCTACTAATAAAATGTTAGTTCAACCTAAAAATACTATAGAAATATAGAACACACAAGAGACCTTACACACTAGGCACCAACTAATAGAAAAATACACAAAACTGAGCCTAAAACTTATCAGACACAACCATATACTACAACCTCTCTAATTAGCAGCCCAGTTATGAGAATACATCAACTAGTACAACAACTAATGATCAACAGCAAGGTAAAAATCATGGTGAGCCTAATTAAAATATGATCATAATTACTAATAAGCTATTGATTGAGATAGTAATCGCTCTATAAAGAGGAGAAAAATTTGAATCCTGTGAAATATATTCGCTAGGAGTTTTTTAACCTTAATATTTTTGACTCGCTAAAGATTAATTCCAAAGTTAAAATGACGTGGAAAGACTTTGGGTTATTAAAAAAAAAAAATCATAGTTCACATAATAATATTCAATTTTTAACAATGTTAAACATCTAGAGTAGTGAGATGCGATGAAGGGTTTTCTAGTGAAGAGCTTGATTTTCCTTTATCTTCTGCCAGCAATTTTAAAGTCGTCTGGGTACAAGAAAAATGGAAGGAAAATAATGCGATTAAAAATTTTAATGAGTTTAATTTTAAAAAAAAAAGTTAAAAACTTTTAATCATTATTTTTTTATCTTACATTTTTTATTTATTAATTTTGAGTATTTTAAATTAAACTCATTAAATTTTTTTTCTTTACAAAATAGACAGACAGATTTTAAAGGAGCACACGAGTTCACTGCAAATTACACATATGCCACCCTTTTTGATAATTAATTTAACTTTTTCTAGTCTAATTCTGAAATTATGGCGAGGGGCATAACTCGATGCTCCCCAAAACCTGCAAGACGCCCAACCCAAGTTCCACCAAAATGCATAACTGACGATGAAGGCTCGGAGAGTTACCGGGTGGGCCATCGCGCGCGCCTTCAGCTCCGCGTCCTCTGCTTCACTACCTCAATCGGGACCGGCGTTCCCTCTGAAAACAGTCACCAAATCAAACTTTGAAGCCTCGATTGCTGAGCTTCGTCACCATGTGCGAGCTTCGGACTTCGTTGCCATTGATCTTGAAATGACCGGAATCACCAGCGCCCCATGGCGGGAGTCCTTCGAGTTCGACCGCTCCGATGTTCGCTACCTTAAGGTCAAGGATTCTGCGGATAAGTTCGCCGTCGTACAGTTTGGCGTGTGTCCCTTCCGCTGGGATTCTGCCAGTCAGTTGTTCGTCGCTTATCCGTGAGTGTCGTTTTTCGCTATTTTTTCCTTGCCATTTCCTTGTATCTGAGAAAATTCTATCAAATGTAACAAAAAGTAGGGCATTTGATGCATGGAAGTTAGCTCATGGCCTCGCATTGACGGCGAAACTACGGTCTATTATCGAAAAACATAATTGTAAGCTAAGTGGAGGGGAATTTTGAATATGTTTGTGTAATTTTTCAACCTCCAAGTAATAGAAATGAGCTTCTTTTAAGAAGTTATTTGTCTTCCCTTAGCTACAAGTGACATCAGACGCGGGAAAGGGAAATATTCTCATTCAAGTCATTAGGAGTACGGTGTGCAGTATGCATACCCTGCTCCAATCCTAACGGCCCTTAACTAACTTTCTCACTGTTAGTCAATCCCTTTAGTCCTTCTAATCTATTTTGTTACAGGCCACACGCACCTCACTTTTCCATGATCAGCATAACCATTGGGTTCTCTCTATTTACAACGTGAGGCATCTGCTTTAAGAAGCTTTCCATGTGCTTCATTTGTGGAATACAGTTCTTCTAGTATTTTAATTTATTTTCTTTGTATGAATGGGATTATATGGCTTCTGTTCAGATTAAGAAAATGCTTTTTGACAGGTACAATTTTTATGTTTTTCCACGTGAAGAGCTTGCGGGCTTGGGTCCTCGTAATGAGTTTCTCTGCCAGACATCTTCAATTGATTTTTTGGCTAAATACCAGTTTGATTTTAATGCATGCATACATGAAGGTGGGCTTACTACTTTCCCTTCTCTTTCCTGTGGTTGCCTTTGATGGCAAGCTTGTAATTATATTGGTTTGGATAATTTATTTCTGCCAATGACCCATTCAAAGCTAAGTGAAGGTACTCTTATTGTAATCTCTAAAAATTTCTTTGCTTGGGAAAGTAAAGATGTCGAAACCTTACTATAGGGTGCATGTAATTTGAATGCTTTCATTGTTCTGAGAAAAAATGGTCCATAAACTGAAGGTTTTGGATTGGCAAGCTGGAAACATTTTGGGTCATTTAGGGAAATAAATACCCATAATCCTGCCCATAATTTCAGCAACTGGATTTTAGTAGATGGCCGATGTTTCAATGAGAGTCTGTAAATAGTGTGGCATTTGGTCTGTCGATACAAACGTCATCTCAAGTTCTTATATACTTGTAGTTTGAGAATTTGTACCCTTGGATAATGTCAGGAATATCTTATTTATCCAGAGAACAAGAAAGTGAAGCTATAAGGTGCTTGAATTCAAGTAATGATGATGAGTGGTTAGATGAAGATTCAAGACTGGGCATAAAAAATGTCAAAGACATAGCATCAGTCAGCATCGCAGATGTGTTGTTCACTGAACGAATGAAAAACAAATTCAGTGAATGGCGTGATGGATTATTTCAGGAGCAAGAAAGGGAAGACAAAATTCAGAGATTGTCAGAAGTTTCAAAACAGCAACTTCAAGTCATTTTCTATAAGATGCGTCCAGCTCTAAGACTTTGTGGATTCACATCTCATCAGCTTAAACTGATTAAGTTGGTAAGGTGGTTTAATCTTGCCTCCTAAGCTGATATGTTTACTTTGTCGTTCTTGGATTGATTCTTTCAGTTATAACATCTATGATTGTCCTAGAATTGATGATATAGTAGCAGGTTACATATGGATGGTGAATGAGTTCAAAATTTTGCAGGTTGTCAGAAGCCATTTCAAAGATCTTTTTTATGTCAGTGTAAACAGTGAGGATTCTGGCTTGCAACATATGGTTGTCTATACAGACTCAAGGGATGAACTGAAATCCCTTCTGGTAATATGTTAATAAAATCCTCAAAACTGGCATTATTCTTTTCCCTGTGGAAATGCAATGTGTGCTCTATATTGCTAATGACAATTGGGATATGACTGCATCATGGATAGGGATATTGTTTTCTGTGCTCATTATATTTGTTGATTACCACCAAATGATTTACTTAGATTAAAATATATAGCCCTTTATCATCTTTATTTTGAATGGATAAGATGTTCTTGGAATATGAGCTTAATCCCATTCAATGGTCACCAATTAAATATACTCCAAGTGATTGTCTATACTCTATAAGTATAGGTTTGACATTTAATTTATGAGTATGAAGGTTTAGAGAGGTGAGAAGAGAACTTGTGAACTAATATTCCATGATGCCATAGCAGTTTATTAAGTCCTTAAATGTACATTAATCTCATGCAGAAAGAAGTGAAAGACAGGCATCAAAGGGAAGTAGAGACGAAGATTCAAGCTGCGGTAGGATTCCGCCATGTTATTGACCTCCTTTCCTCTGAACAGAAGCTGATAGTCGGTCACAATTGCTTTTTGGGTATCAATGTCATTCTCTACCTTGTACAAGTTCTTTTATTTGATGAGTTACTAAGATGATACCATTCTATGGCACAGATATTGCTCATGTATACAGCAAATTTATTGGTCCTCTTCCAAGGACTGCTGAAGAATTTGTCTCCTCTGTTAACAAGTATTTCCCATATGTTGTTGACACCAAAATGCTCTTGAATAGCAATAATTTACTCCAAACAAGGATGAAAGGGTCTCCGAAATCACTGGCCTCTGTATTTTCCTTTTTGTGTCCACAAATAGCTGTTGGATTCAAAAGCAGTGACTTAGCTTCTTCGTCATCCATGAAAGTGGAGGTCCAAGTGAATGATTTAAGGTTTGGTTCTCAATTCTTTATGAATCCTGACCAAGTAATGTTCTATTTAACTTATACCATTTAGTGTATGTAGAAAACCTACAATGAAGAAGATGGTGGTATAGCTTTTCTGTGTATTTCAAAATTGCTATTTTTGTCATGAACATTGATGGGGACATGGTGATGCCAAATCATGGGTATGAAAATGAATTCTATTATTCTACTTTTGAGTTCTTAAATGAATCCCCGAAACCTGCATATTGTTTTACCTTCACACATGTAGTCATGTTTGTAGGCATCTTCCAGCGATTGTAATACTTGACAACTTTCTTTCTTAGTACTGCAACCTTTCTTATGAGCAAAATTTTCCCGTCTATGATTGCATTTGTATCTCTTATGAGTGTTTTCCTTTTTTCTGTTTTTGATTTCTTACTGAGTATTTTTCAAAGAAATGTTCCTATGAAATTCATATCAGTCATCGAGGGAAACAGAGTGCATATACATGGGACAGTGGGCAACATGTCTTCTAATCAAGCAAGAAGAAACAAAGTAATTAAACTGAAAACAATAACAAGAAATTAAAGAGAGAAAGGAAAACGAATGCTGACAGACAAGGTATTTAAATTACTGGAGTAATGACTGTAATATGCCTATAAGGAGGAAAACTAATGTGGTGAGATTTCAACACTCTTTGTCAAGTCGGGGAAAATATGTTGATTATACCCAGTTTGGACCTTAATTCCTCCATGTTTACTCAGAATACATTTGTAATTTGCAATTTGCCTAAAATGTCTTCCACTTGAAGCCTTGTTGGAGTTTAAGTTCTGATACTCATAATTTCAGCTTCTTCTTGATGAATGGACTTTCAATGTCCACATGCTTGGCCTTGTCGTTAAGGGCATTATTCTTTTCAATGCTGAGACAGCCAAGTGGACATTAATAAGATCCTCTAAGGAAATCATCGGTCCCCAAGAAGTCTTGGATGTGACAGCATTGCATTTGCATCTCTTATTCTTCTAGATTGAGCCCATCAGTCCTCTCGATTGCCCAATTAGTGGCAGAAGATTCATTAGCTACCATGGCATCTGTTTCTTTAGTTGGAACCATAGGTTGAGGAATTTATTTGGTCTCATAGTTGTAAGTATAATAAGACATTTTATAACCTTTAATACTATCTTTGAACCAGACATTAGAATTGGTCTCTGTTTTTGGTCACGTAAACAAAAATTCAAGAACTCAGTTGATCTCGTATTAGTGATGAAACTTGTGCATTCTGTGTCGAAGTATTTCTTATTCCTCTATCTCGGAAAGAGCTGTTGTGATTTCACTTGAGGAATAGGCCTCTTGAGCAGCTTCCCAAATGCTGTTGGCTTTTGCAGAGGGGAATTCTTTCCGATGCCATTTGTAATGAAGTGGATGAACCTTGACATGACTATCCACATTTTGAAATTGGAGTCACTGTGATCACGCTGCTTGGTTGCTCTAAGGAGTACGGAGCTGGTTTTCCCTTTCTCAACCTCAAACTTTCTTCATAACAAAGTGAGACCTCTGAAGATAGTTATGCCCATTTAGATGATACTCTGTGATAAGGACAGGGGTGGGTTTGTTTGCTCTGGCTGATTGAAGTGGTGAGTAGTGGCTTTTTCTTGGTTTTTAATGCCATTGGTTAGTCATGTTAGCTTATTTAGGAAGATCAGGCCTTGGGAAGTCCAATATCATGAAGATTTTCAAAATAATAATCCTCTGAAATTCATACTGTTCATTGGTAGACGTCGTGCAAGGTAGCACACCCAATTTCTAATAAAAAGGATGAAGTATAACTGAAAATACTAACAACAAATTTGAGGGAACAGAAAAAGAAAACCAACCCTGATTGACGGAGTATAAAGCATTTGATGTGCCTTATTAAGTTAATATCATGAGATTACAACTAACTGAATTTTTTTCTACATAAAATAAAGTAATATTACCTTCTGTTTTGTTCTTCCGTGGAGGGTGAGCAGAAGCTCCCATGATACCAACATAATATGTGCATTTGCAGGTCATCTAGCTGGAACCCTGGAGGCAAGCATGAAGCTGGATATGATGCTTTCATGACCGGATGTGTCTTTGCCCAGCTTTGCAGTCATTTAGGAGTTAACTTTAAACTCAATGACTCTTCACAACATTTAGCCCTCAGCGACAAAATTCGGAAGTACATTAACCTTCTTTATCTTAATTGGTTGCATGGGGACGTTATTGATCTAAATACTGGTGATAAAGTTGCAGATTTTGGGGTTCATACCCTCAAGAGACAACATCATAAGATTTTGTTTGAGAATGTAGTTCTTATCTGGGGACTTCCTTTCAAGCTCAAGACAAGTGAAGTAAGAGATTGCATAACCAAAGTTTATGGTCCAACTTCTGTAGTTTCGGTCTACCGCTTGGATGAAACTGCAGTATTTGTGCAGCTGAGCAAGACTGAACTAGTCTCAGACTTCCTTTCATTGAAGGAAACCTTAGAGAGACAAGGTAGTCCACTTTCGGCTATGCATCCTCTTGCGAAACTTTTGGAAGGTGGAAACACATGCGCTGCTTCTTATGAGACTTACAAAGAAATATGTGGTTCGCCACTTTCAGAAGTTCTGTTTGCTGATCAGGCAAAGGCAGCTGGTATAGAGTGGAAGACCCAGTTAGTAGAACACAAGGCTGACCTGGAAACTGTAGAAAAGACTGAGCCAACCACACTTGACCAGTTACGAAATGCTGTACCTCATGATCAAGTCTCAAATGATGAGTTCATGGGATCTTTCTGTGCAACTGAGGTGAATCAGATCAAAACTGCCAATTTGCGATGATGAGACAAGATTTAGATGACTTATTTCATGTGTTTGCTATCGAGTTTTTCAATAGAAATACGTGTAGATGTGAATTTTTATCTCGGTTATGTGGTATTGAATTATAGGTTAAAAAAAAAAACAATAAGGAGAATATTTTTATTCATGTTGATGGCAAAAATAAAAACTTAAGCCAAATTGTGCCCTTTGTAATAATATCCTTGATTCTCCGTTTTGTAGGCCATCAGCATATAATATATATGTTAGTGTGTTATTGCTCGTTCGGAAATTCATGAAAGCAATCAATCTGTATACTGTGGATGGTATGCTTCTTGATATCAGACGATATAGCAATCTGAGATGAAACAGGACTTAAGGCGGGGAAACGTAAAAAACGTTTATCGAATTGAAAAGAAAAAATAAATAATTTTATTGCTTATTGGTAATTAATACTACGTCTGGCTTTATTTATAAGATCTTATTTACAGGACCAGAGGTAGTATAAAATCTATTTACTTAATTTGATTAGATTAGGAAAGTAAAGTAAGTTAGTTAATTATAATAAATAATGACCTGTTTCTTTTAAAATATTCAAATCATTTTTCTTAAGTTTTAAATAATGATTAATTATCTCTAATAAAAGAAGAATAATACTTAGCGAAATATATGTACAGATGATCAAGTAATGATTAATTATCAAGACATGCGTGAGAGTATGATCTAGCACATTTCAGGGTGTTATGCATACTGATCAATCCTTTATTTGTCGGAGGTCCACTTTCAATCATTGTGTCCTGTCTAATTTCATTTAGTGGCTTTATAATGATACAAGTTTGAATGGAAAGCAGTGTGTTCAAAAGTTTGACTCATATAGCCGTTGCAACATATTCTGCTCCTGGGAACCCTCTTTTTTGCTGTTTTCCAGTCAGAGTCACATGGTCAAGTTCAGAAGGCCGGTGCAAAACTGCCAAAACCCTTTTGTCATTCACAATATACCAAGATTTAATTAACTAATTTGAAGAAGTTAAAAAAAATTAAATTTTAATTGACTAATTTGAAGAAGTTAAAAAAAAATTAAATTACTTTAAAATATTTATATTTATTGTTCTTTTGTAAACTAATTTGACTCACTTATAAATTGATATATAATCTTATAATACACATAAGTATTTTAGACAAATCATGTAACATACGTTATAATTAAGTACTTTATTAATTTTCTTAATATTTTCAAATTAATCAACCAGGTTTTAAGTCTTATGGTAATTTTAAAGAGGTAATGAAATTCAAGACTGGGATTATTCTTACTCCATCAACTCATTTCACACATCACTCTAATTTTGGTAACTAAGGGTTTGTTTGATGAATATACACACACACACACTACCTCTTGTCCTAAATATAAGAGTTAGTTTATAGTGTAAACTTCACTACAAGCTAACTTTTATATTTAGGATCGGAGGTATAATATATGGAATGTGAAAGAATAGATTTAATAACAAAATAAAAATGATTTAGGAATTAAAAAACAGTTATTTTTCCTTTATTTTGGAAAATATAAAAGATATATATATATATTATTGAACCATAATTAAATAAATATAATAGATACTGCATAAAAGAAAAAAATTCCACATCAAATGAGTGTTGATTTTTTTTTTCCTCATTCTCGTTTTTCCTCTTGATTTTTTTTTTTTAAAATGAAAGATTGTTGTGCTGCTCAATACTCATTGATGCTTTTTTTGATCGAATCCATTGATCCCCCCCCCGGGGGATGCGATGCATTAGGGTTCCATGAACCTAATATGACCATTAGAAAACAATCAATATTGTTAAAAAAAGTTATTAGTTGTGAGAACTATAAGAAAATCCAAATGACCACTTGTACACAAACGCAGTTTTAGCTACACAGGACTTGGTTTCAAATACACTCTTGGCAATGGATCTTACAAACAAAAATCCAGACATACTCTTTATTTTTGCTCCCTGTTTCTTCTCCTCTTCAGCAATTCTAGCTCACTTTATAAGAGAATCTTAGAGGGATATATGATCATATGACCCAAAAAAGAAGGTCAGTTTCGTTATATGACTAGGCTCCTACATCGTGAATAATACACGAGACATTGAAGTTCAATAGATTGAGTTTTGAACTCCAGTTCCTAAACAATGACCTTCCCTAATGAATAATAATCATCCACAAAAATCAAGAAATCAAATGATTGACTCCACGTTTAGTTTTTCAGCCAATTCTTATCTCACACAAGGATTTCTCAGTACTGGACTCCACGTCACTATCTGAAACAATCTCATCGAGACTCAAAGGTAGGCCACAAGAGAAGGTGAGGCATGGTTTCACCTTTGGCACAACAAGTGTGCTTGCTGGTTCATCGTTGCTGAGAATCTGCAAAACCCTGGTCATAGAAGGCCTTTCAGCACTATCTGGGTTTGCACAGCTCAACCCCAAGAGCAAAAGTTTCTTCATCTCTTTCTCTGTAAACTCCCCATTCAACCTTTTATCTGCTGCTTCAACTATCTTCCCTTGAGAGTGAAAACCCCATACCCAATCAACCAAATTGACCATGTTTTGGCCTTCTCTTTCAATTGGCCTCCTCCCACATGCCACTTCGAGAACAACCACACCATAGCTAAAAACATCAGTTTTCTCAGTCGCCATTCCATATTGAAGATACTCAGGCGCCAGATACCCCATTGTTCCTGCTGTTAATGTTGAAACTGGGCTTCGGTCATGATCCATCAGCTTCGCCAATCCGAAATCCCCCAACCTTGGGTTGTAATTTGCGTCTAACAATATGTTTCCGGTCTTAATGTCTCTGTGAATGACTCTTTTTTCACATTCTTTGTGGAGGTAAGTCAGAACAGAAGCCAACCCAATGGCAATATTAAGTCTACGAGACCAGTTCAACAAGTTCTGGCTTCCTTCGGATTCTGGGTAGAGCATCTTATCTAAGCTTCCATTGGGCATGAAGTCATACACAAGCAACAATTCCCCCTTGTCAACACACCAACCTTGGAGCTGAACCAAATTCTTGTGCCTCAAACCTGCTATGATGGACAGTTCAGCTAGAAATTCTGTTTTGCCATCATGAGATTGTCTTGACCTCTTCACAGCAGCAATGGCTCCTGAAGGTAGAAACAAGGCTTTATATACTGTTCCAAATGATCCTTGGCCTATGATCCTACTCGAGTGAAACCCTTTTGTGGCCACTTTCAATTCTTTGTAACTAAATTCCCTAGGACAAGACATTAAATCAGTTTTCACCCTCTTCAATGTTCTGCCATTCCTCCATTTGCGTACAGAAAAATAGCCCAAACTTACCAAGACTACACAGAAAAAAGCTGGACCAGCAATGGCTATACCTAATCCAAGCCTCTTATCATGCTTGTTGCTGGAATGATTATAGGACTTATTATGAATGTCCACGGTTGCACTCACCCAGCTACCAGAGACGTTATGAGCATGGAACTTTGGTGGTGTTGCAGGAAGAGATCCATTACTCTGGAATCTCCAGTTCACAAGCTGATGAAGCTCAGTGCTTCCCTCGGCGGAAGCAGCAAATCCCACGTACACTATCTCCTTGATATACCCAGAGAGGTCAAGATCATCAACATTCAGAACCGGGTTCTCAGGCTTGAAGTTTGAAGTCGAATTATTATAACTCAAAAACACCTGAAGCTTCCTCTTTTCACTCTCGTAATCAATCCAAGCTGTGATCAATTCCCCACTCTTGAGATCAATGCCCTGAGAGATGGTATCCCCGGTGGTATTGATAGAAGCAACGCCGTTTAAACCCAACTCAACGCGATTATCACTGGGGACGAATTCGACGGCAACGACGTTGGATCGGGTCAACTGGGAGGAATTCAGGAGACCCATCTTTCCGCCGATGCTCCAAAGAGTGTGGTTGCTGGGAAATAGAAAGAATGATAAGGAACCATCCACGAGAGAAGGAGGATTGTTAAGGTTGTCAGTGATAGAGAAAGCGAATGATGTTGAGAATGAAGAGGAAGCGTTTGAGTGTGGGTCGAAGAGAGAAATGCGGTCATTGTAGATTACGGCTCCGGCACTGGACGTGGGCACGTCGGACGATCTCGTGAGGCCGACGACGCCATTCCGGAGAAAGGAATCGCCGACGAGGGTGACGTTCCGAAGAGACGTGAAGGAAGAGAATTCGAAGGTGAGGTTTTGCGCCAACACGCCGGTTGGGTCCAAGAAGCAGGAGAGAAAGAACAGAACTAGGGTCCTTCCTGAACACATAGCCAAACTGATAAGAAGAATCTGGTTATCAGAGAATAGAGAAATTGAAGATGACAGAGCTGAAAGAAGAAGAAGAAGCTCGGAACTTGCCGGGTTTCATTCCAACCGTTAGAAATAGGGCGCCTCCACAAATTTTAAAAAATGGATTCAATGATGATTGTGTTGGGCAATGAGAGAATCTAAGAAGAAGGTGGGGCCTCTTTGGTCTTTTCAATGCCTCTTTAAATTTACATTATTTACAAGTATGACCCACAACTTACCTGTATACAGTGGCATTTATGGAACTGTCTTGGTCAAAGCATTTGTGAAGTTTATTTTGACCAAAATGTACCCTGTAGTACTCCTATTTATGAAGTATTACTCTTACAAATTATTTTTATAATATAGTTTGTATATGCTTGAATAATAGCTGTAAATGGATAATAAATCTTGACAAACTCGTTGATAAGTTAAGTCATCCAAATTTTGCTCAAAAAGGGTTTTTTTTCACAATTTAATTGGGATATTTAACATTAATTTGTATTCTTGTTTGGTGAAAAAAATGTTGTGATTGTTTTGGCTAATATGATTTCTTTACCGTTTATTCTTTTGAGAGGGAAGGTTTTCGCAAAATAGTGATTAAAACGATCGAACTTATTAACAGCTCGGTTTGGAATGAAGAATTATTTTTATGCTTGAGATTTGAGTTTTATTAAAATGAGGTTAAACCTTGAGACCCCATTGAATTGGAACTTAATAACATAAATATTGGAATATTTAACATAAATTTCTAATCGTTGGTGAACTAAAATTTTGTGACCACTTATTTTGTTTGATTGCACCATTATTGTTTGATTTATTAATTTTAATTTATGAATTTTATAGAATTTCATTTATAGAAACGCGTAAGTGTTAAAACAGTATAAAATGAAATAAAAAGAGATTCTATAAAGTCCATATTTTTTATAAATTAAAAATTAATGGCTTTTACCCTTAATAATGCATGCTTATAACGATCCAATCTAAACAAAATAAATTACAAAAACCTAATTTTAAATAAAAATAAGCTATAAAAATCTCCAGATAATTTTTTCTTTGATCGACGTAAAGCTTAAGAGGAGAAGAGTTTGGGAACATTCTTTTTCTCCAGCAGATCCCACCTAAATAATTTTTTTTTTCCCGGGAAAAACAAGAGAATCTCAATCTAATTGAAATTTAGCGTCGCGGGACATGAATGGATTTGACTGAGATTTAAAAATGCAAATGTGAAACGTTCGATGTTATGATTTCACAGACCAAAATGGTGCATATAGCCGTTGTATTATTGTTCATTATATTACATTTCATTTCTATAATTTCTGGCCACATATAGTATGCAACGGCTCACCACGTGATAGAGACTAGGATATAATAGATTATTCGTTAATTTTTAATTTTTTTTTAATGAGACCACATACAAACTAACAAGGAGAAAAAGAAACAGAAGAAAATAAATATGATATCATATAAATTTTTTATAGGAGTTTTAATGTCTCAACTCTCGTACACGTCATTTGGTTAAGAAATAAATCAAAATAGGATTGGTTTTGGAAACTTTTAGGCATTACGTATTTTTGTTACGGATAATATTTATATTAAGTTTTTATATATTTTTTATGTTAAATTCTCTAATCATACAAAAAAACTTAATATAAATATTTATATTAAATTCTAAATCCATATAAAAAAAACAGATATATGATTAGAAAACTTGACATGATTAATATAAAAAACTTAATATAAATATTTACGTTTTCTCATCAAGTGGGATAAGATTATGTTTTTTTTTTTCGGTGCATACAATATCTTGAACTAATTTTTAATGTATTTAGAATTCTAAAACATTCTTTTAATAAAGTAATTTTTGATGTATCCACTGGCATTAAAATAATTCAGGATCTACCAACAAAATTGCACCAAAAATTAATTATTACTTTAAGATCTACTAACAACTGTTAAATGTATTAATAATTAATTTAGAATATTGAGTGCATCTAAAAAAATGTTTTTAAAATAGATATTTTTAAAATATTGCACACTATTTTAAAAACATTTTTGTATGAAAGCCTGCATGTCACGTCAGCAAAAAATGATGAGAGATATACCTTAAAATGAGTGGAGGAAGTTTTACGGGAGATAGATGAAAAGATCAAATCATTCATCATCTGAATGATTTTATTTTTTTTCCTTTCCAAAAATACAAATGTCAAATATGATGAATGTTATCGAGTTGCTTAATATGCTTATGTTTAGATATGGTAAAATGGCCTGGCCCACTAATTACGTGCTTGAGACTATGCGGGTCCGTCATAAAAGACTGACGAGCTCATATTTGGCTAGCTTGGCCCACCAACCTCCATCCCTCCCCCCCCCCATTTTTACACGTATTTAAAAAATTGTAAATTAAATTATAAAATTTTATAAACCAAATTCTTCTTAGAGAAAATGACAGATAAAGAAGCTCCAAAATGTCAAATGCCAATTTGGGAAGCTAAGGAAATGTAATTACCCATAGGGAAGCCCTTCCCAAATTGGAATTTTAAAATTCACTGAAATGACAAAAATGCCCTTTGTTCTTTTTTTTTAAAAAACAAAACCCAGCCCCTCACCGGTAGCCGGCGAACGGCGACCACCGCCGGCGACCGCCGACCGCCTCTAGCCACCGGCACCGGCCACCGGTGTGGTGGCTGCCGGTGAAGGATTTTTGTGATAAGAATTTTTTTTTTTTAGAATGGGATAATATTAGTTCAAAGTGACGGGGGTGGGATTTAATCCCACAACTCCTTGGCCACTTGGACCAACAAAAGGGAAGATGCCATTGGGCTATCAAAGATTTCTTAACCTTATAATACAAGCAAAAATATAAGTTAACTCTTTTACTGTGACTCCAGCTCGTGACAACAATTTATCTGAGGATGACAAGTCTTAATTGAGAAATAACAAGTCTAAATTTGATATTAACAAAGCAACTTTTCCTTATACATAACAAATAACAGCATGTGCATTAATTAAAAATGATCATAATTTATTTAAAAATGACACGTCTTTACTATAAAATGACAAGTCTAAAATTGATATTAACAAGGCAACTTTTCCTTATACATAACAAGAAATAGCATCTACGTTAATTAAAAATGACCATAATTTATTTGAAAATAACACGTCTTTACTGGAAAATGATAAGTCTAAACTTGATATTAACAAGGCAACTTTTCCTTATACATAACAAGAAATACCGAATAAATTGTTGTTATTTTTCAACAAAGACGTGTCATTTTTAAATAAATTATGATCATTTTTAATTAATGCACATGCTACTATTTGTTATGTATAAGGAAAAGTTGCTTTGTTAATATCAAATTTAGACTTGTTATTTCTCAATTAAGACTTGTCATCCTCAGATAAATTGTTGTCACGAGCTGGAGGCACAGTAAAAGAGTTAACTTATATTTTTGTTTGTATTATAAGGTTAAGAAATCTTTGATGGCCCAATGGCCATCCTTTTGTTGGTCCAAGTGGCCAAGGGGTTGTGGGATCAAATCTCACCCCCGCCACTTTGAACCAATATTATCCTATTCAAAAAAAAAAAAATCTTGTCACAAAAATCCTTCACCTGTAGCCACCACACCGGTGGCCAGAGGCGGTCGGCGGCCGCCGGAGGCCAGTCGTCGGCGGTGGTCGCCGGTCGCTGGCCACCAGTGAGGGGCTAGGTTTTTTTTTTAAAAAAAAAAAAAGAACAAAGGGCATTTTTGTCATTTCACTGAATTTCAAAATTTCAATTTGGAAAGGACTTCCCTATGGGTAATTACATTTCCTTAGCTTCCCAAATTGGCTTTTCACATTTTGGAGCTTCTTTATCTGTCATTTTCCCTTCTTCTTATTCTTATATGTTCATATAATTATATAATTAAATTAATCTCAAAAGTTGAAATATAAACATATAATTTATTGTTAATAGTTATTTTATTAATATAAAGATGGTAAAACAATTTAAAAAAAGAAATCAAATTTAGAATCAAAATCTTGAACAAAATACAAAGTTATATGTAAATTAAGTGAAAATGATCGATTTTTTTTATTAAAGTTAAAATAAAACTTGTTAAAAAAATTTTAAAAAAAAATTGGGCTGCCAAGTCAACTCACAGGTTGACTGGCTAGCCCATGGTGGGCTGCGGATTGACAGGTACGGGCTGAAAAGAACCGTATCAAAAGGAGTTTCTATTTTCTTCAATCTAACCCGTCACTAAGCTCGTAAGCTCAACTCATATTATCAACTCTACTTATATCTGTTATATATATTAAGTTCTCTAATCACATATAACTATTTGTCTGATTTTCATTTAATCATAAATCCACACTAAACAAAAAAAGACACATGACTCATTTGTAATTAGAGAATTTAATATAATAAATATAAACAACTTGATCTAAATTTTTTCCTAAAAGTTATATGACAACAAAATCAAAATTAATACAAACTCGATATGAAAGAGTTTCTTATAATTTTAAACTCGTTTTTGGCTTAAACGAATTTTAGTGCAGCATATTGTATTTTTCTTTCAATGCATTCTGGTCTTTTCATAAACAAAAAGTACATTTTATCATGTAGGATTTTGATACTTTTTTAAGGAAAAATTCTTTAAAAAAAGACTGTTAAATAATTTAGATTCTTATTTGAGTCATTAAATTTGTCAAACTATTAAGCAAGTCACATGACCCAAAAAGAGATCTGTAAAATATTATGAAATAACTCTAATACCTATTTCATTAGAAATCAAAAGAGAATTCTACACGTACATGTTCTATTTTGCAATTAACACGTTTCAATTCTAAACTAATAATTTTCTGTCTCTATAACACATTTATAACAAGTTTTTGAATAAAACTTAATTATAATACAACCTTAAAAATTAATAAGTTCAATTTCCGAGTGGAAAAGTTTCATTTCTAACCCTTACAGTAAAATCTTTTAAATAAAAGTTAATCACAATACAATCTTGAAAAG